TTAACAGTTTTTACTTTTTTACATGTAAAAATGCCAGCTGCCCATTAGATTGTGAACATTTAGATTGTGTGAACATTTCATGATGAATAGCCTAGTAGAAATGGTATAGTTACGATTGACATGTTACCAAGAGTTATATATGGACCATTCTACTGAAATACTTCAAACTGCAGTCCCACAGTAAAAAAAACAAAAAACAAACAAAACTATTTAAAACAACAACAAGTATTCAGACTGTAGATATTTGATACCATGATCTATTTAAAGCCAAGGCATTTATTGAGATAAGTAATAAGGTAGATATATACAAAATGATTATTTATTTATTATAATTCCTTGTATGTGTAAGCATACCTGGCCAATAAAGCTTGATTCTGATTTATAGGGTATTTTCTGTTAGGCGGTGACTCTCCCAAACCCTAACGCCTAAATTTTTTCCCCAATGTAAGATCTTTTTTTAATTCTTTTAAAGCTGAAAGATGTGGATTTCATTTTTAAATAAAAAATACTTTATTCAAAAAAATGCTGTCCCAAGTTTTCATGTCACTACCGAAACACAAAGAGTTTTAGTCCATAGGCGGAGCCTTATTTTAGCCACACCCCTGCATTTTAGAGCAGGAAGTGAGACTTCATCCCTGTTCCTCACGGACACATGGTGAACAGTTAGATCCCATTATTTTGAAGTAAATGTGTCTCAAAGTCTGAAAATCAGTGTGTAACGTTAAGAATTGTCACCACTGAAACACATATTTTCTGCCATAAAGTAAATTTCTTTGTGTTTTAATGAAAAATATAATGATTTTATGTGTGAACAATGGTTCAAAGCTGTGTTTGCATGTTCTGGCTAGTGTTCTGTCTCTAGAGTTCTGTTCAAAATGAGTTAAAATGGTCACTACTGAAACAGTCAAACTGACACATTTGGTAAAGTTGTGATTGTTTTGGTAGTGAGAAAATGGAATGTTCAATCATTTATTGATTACAGTATGGGGTCACACAAAGCAAAAGGCTAAAGTCAGTTAAAAGTAAAAAAGAATTGACCCAACAGAAGGTAAAGTGAAGGTCACTTTGAACACTTTTGGCACACGGTGTCTAGCACAAAAGTCCACTTTGCATTAACCAGCTGATGCACCCACAAAGACAATTAAAGGAATACTCCAGTATTTTTTATCCTAACCTCTATCTGCTGCACCTGTAGCATATGGAAAATTACCACAGACAGTAATTCCCCTAGTTTCCTGCTGAAACTGCCTGAAGACTAGGTCTTTTTTCAACAGGTCAATAGGTTTTCTGTTCTTTTCTAACTACAGGGAAGTTGGTGAGGCGGATGAAGCAGATTGAGATTAGAATGTATACTGGAGTATTCCTTTAAAGCCAGACTGAATCTTTTCCCACTGTGATTTAGAAATCAAATAGACAACTTTATGATACAGTTAAAAGGCCCATATGACAGAAAACCAAATTGTCCTCACTTATTTGCAATAAAAGAGTTTGATGTTGCATGTAAACATTGTTAAGGAGAATTTCAGCCTGAACTGCTTTCTGAATGAGGCACAAAACAGGACAGCAAATCAGAACAGAGATTATTTACCTATATCTGTCTTAAAGGCACAGTAACATAAACAGCCCATTTAATTGTAAGGGATAAAGAGAGACTGGAAAATTATCATATGAAAATGTATTAAGACTAAGAAAATAAAATGCACAACAAATAGGAAATAGGATATGGGCCATTTAAATGGTAACACTCACTGTTAAATGCTTTAGTCTATCTTATGCTAGTGTGTGATTCCAGATATTGAATCAAATAACACAAAGCCCAACAGATGGTAGAGTGGGGGTCACTTTCAGTACTTCTGACATGCAGAGGCCAAGCACAAAGTGGACTTTGCATGAACTGTAAACACATAAACACGCCATTTTTCTTGGGCTCGGAGCACCGCGTCAGGGTTACTTTACACACCTTTGAACATGCTTTTTTGAGGTTTCAGTGTAAAATGGATTTCAATGAGAAAGGGGAGGTCAGCAGAGGAGGTGCGGAGGCGATACGAGGGGGGGGAGAAGGGTGGGAAGCCGACAGGAGGGGAAAAGAAAAGGAGGTGTGCATGGGGTAGAGGGATTTTCCATTTGTAAAAAAAAAAACTGGGGCCACTGGTTATTGAGTTGCATGAGAAGGATCCCCCCGTCCTTTTTTTTTTTTCTCTTCTCCCCCGCAACCCACCCCGGACCCCTCCTTCTCTTCTCTCTGCAGCCTTCTACCTCTCTCTCGTCTCCCTCTCTCATTACCATAGCAGCTGCAGAGCTGTCTATGTGCTAGTATGCGTGTGTGTGTATGTGTGGGGGGTGTTAGGGTAGGGCAGTGTGACTTGGGCAGGGGCTCCCGTCAATGGTGGGCCGTCTGGAACTTGAATAGGGAGAGCGGAGAGCCGGGCTGGCCGAACAAAAGCGAGAGAGAGAGAGGAGGAGAATGAACGAGTGAATGGGGCGGCTTGTCACTGCGAGCTAGAGCACGCAAAACGGAGTGAAATAGTGAAAGAAAGGAAGCAAAAAAAAAGAGGAGCAGAGGGCATGTGAGGATTGGCCTGGCCACCTGTCTCTCTCTCGCTTCGTCTCTTGCCCCTTCTGTCAATGCAGGGGACCAAAGGTTAGAGTTATGAGAGAGAGCAGAGAGAGTGATTTGCGTCTAAAAAATTTGTAGTAAATGCACTGTATGTTGGTTGGGGAGGGGGTGGTGGGGGATTTGGGGGTGCTGAATACAAAAACTCTTTGTTGCTGGCTTGGAAAACAGCTGTGGTTAAAGAAAAAAAAACAGTGTTGAGAATCACTTAAGCAATAGTATTCAGAAGTTTATGTATCGTTATGTAGCTAATCAAAGCCTCAGTTTTGGACCTACACTCTTAAAAGTGAGTTAAAAATGTTCCTAAAAGGTTCTTGGTTTGGTTTGGAAGTACAGTTCCAGGAAAAAAAAAAAAAACTTTAATTAGTGCAGAACCTTTACATTATGCAGCATCTACAAAGGAACCTCACTTTCACAAATCAAAAAATTTCCATCTTGTCCGGGTTGTTCATGAAACCAAAAGTGGTTCTTCAACAGCATCGCTTCAAAGAACATTTTTGGCACAGTTATTTTGAAGAGTGTAATGTTTACTTTTCTTATTGAAACTGCATACACTTTTAAAACGAAAGGTTCCTAAATGATTCTCAGCTTCGATGTACTGTTCTAGGAAAAACCTTTAATTGGTATAGATCCAGCTTTGTGTGGGCCTACATGGCCACTCCATGGTTTGGACATGTGGTTAAGGAAAAACCATATTGGTATATGGTAAATAACCTTTAAAAAGGTTCTTAACCTATCTCAGTTATAAAAATAACTTTTTATGGATCCATCCATTGCAATGTTTTTTGGGAACCAAAAGTGTTTTTCTACAGCTGTGCTCTAAATCACCCTTCTCACACATTCATTCTGAAGACTGTAATGTTTATATTGCTTGTTGCAATTGCATACACTTTAAAAGTAAAGGTTCCTAAATGGTTCTTGGCTTGGATGTACAGTTAAGAAAAAAACTTTAATTGATATGGAACCTTTACGTTATGTGTTTAATTATGTGTTTCTGTCTTTACATATGTTTTAAACAGGTTATTCACACTTGCACATCTCATGTATGAACATGGTTCTTTAAACAACCTGCCATTCAAACATCATTAAGGGAACCAACAGTGGTTCTTTTATGGCATTGCTCCAAACAAATGTATTTTTAATTGTGTAATACTTATTTTGCTTATACACTCCTAAAAATAAAGGTTCCTCAGGGGTTCTTGTTTTGGACGTATGGTTCAGAAGAAAAAACTTGTATACTGGTAAAAAAACCTCACATTCTGTGAGGATTCTTTAAAGCACAAGAAAAGTTCTTCACATATATTAATTATAAAAGCAATTCTTTGAAGGACATTCCATTGAAAAGTTCTTTAGGGAATCAGTAGTGGTTCTTCTGCTGCATTGCTCTAAAGAACCATATGTGTCACCTATTTTTAAGAGGGTGTGGCCTGTGCAGTCTTGTTATTGCTTTTGCTTTAATTCCTACGTGTAAATTCCCAACAAAACCTCACTATTCCAGGAACTGTTTCATGGGACACTTCACAAGTTGTCTCTCTCAAAGGCTGATCCAGAGTGAGTCATGGAAATCTTGTTTCAAATCTAACCCACCACAAGCCAAGCATAGAAAATAAAGCCTGCACTGGACAGACAGGTGCCATACAGAGTTTGTATACCACCCAGGTGTACAATGTTAATATCAGCTATCATTTTAGCCTTCTGTGGTAGTTGTATTTCCAAAGCCAGTTCTTATAGGCCTCACTATAAGACTCACTGGCATCAAAACAGGTTGTATTGAATGAAAAATAACTTGGCTATGCATTATGCCCTTAGTAACACATATCATTTATTTATTATTTTATAAGAGAAAGTGTTGCTGTAAGATTTGACTAGCAGTGAAGCTGTCATTACTGTTCTCTGTTACAAACAACAGGCATGTTCCCACCTAGCTAGGTGGCTAGTTATACGATTCTTTTGATTTATACATAATTGTTTGTTGACTCTACACCAATATAATAAGTCACTTTCACTGTCAACACAACCAAGTCTGTTTAAGGACTGCATTTATGAGTTTTTCACACAGATGATCATTTTTTGGCATATTTGCTGACTGCTATATGTTAGCAAAGAAGCTTACTGCTACTGCTAGGCAGGTGCTGGCAATGGCTAATTCTTTCATACAGGATCTTATCTTGGTACAGAGCTACAAATGTAAAGAAATGGCATATCAAGCTAAAGCTAAACTGAGGTTCAACTTCAGCTAATGTGACTGCCTAACAAGTCAAATTAGCTTTGTAGCATACTCCACAGGCCAAGGCTAAACATATACTTACTGAACTCATAATTCTCTTAAAACAGCAGAATTTAATATTTAAAAAGGCTTTTGTACAAAGATACAAAATACAGCATGTAATATCTTTCAAAATATGACCACTTATAACATTTAAAACATTACAAAAGACCTGCTAAACAAATATAAAAAACACAACAACATATCAACAATTCACAAAAGCATGACAACGAGAGACCAGTGGTTTGGTCTCTTTTCTGAACTTCTCTTTGAAGAAAATAATATTTCAAAAGTTGGTCCAATAAAATCACAGTCATTTGACATTTATCTCAACCAAAGAAGGTATTTTTACTCTCATGTCATAAATGTTATGGCATTATCAAGTAAAGACTTGTGCACTGTGTAACCGCTTGTTACACCGTTTTTACCATGTAACATCCCCCTTAAAAAGAGGAGGATGGGACTTCTATGAGGAAGTGCTCCAAGATTTTCCGAACATTTTACTTGAATGTTCACCCATGAAAAGAATCAGCAACGTTTTTCAGTCACTGTCGCTTGAATATTAAAAACAACTTCTTATACTTGTCTGTGACAACAGTGTTTGTGACAACATTGTGCATGGAGGAACATCAAGTAAAGCGCTTTACAAATTTCTAAAGTCAACATTTACAGACATTTAGATGCCTTTGCAGAAAGTGAGAGAAGACTAACCTACCATGGAGCTTCCATACAATATGATATTTTTTTCCATTTAGAAAAAATAGTATCTTTAAAAGTTGGTTTGACACCAACTATTCATAAAACAGCCATCAGTGCAATATTTAAAACATTCTCAAGTATAAATGATGCATATTTCTACACTGGATTTGAATGATACTTCGTCAGTGTTCGATCACAACCTTTTCCACTTTGACCACAGCTTTCCAGCATTGGCAATGAAACTGGGGGAATACAGGCCTATGTTCTTCAATATGCTGTGCAATGTACAGACATTTGTAGTAATCACAATTCTGTAAATTTGCTCAACTTCTGAAAGTTGAAACTAATGTGATTTTGAGTGAGCAGCCTGAAATTTAAAATGACTAGAGCTTAAAAGAATAATGGTGGCTGGCATGGCCTTGCAAAAACCAGCCATTCCTTGTCTAAAAGTGTGACCCACATTCCCAGTTGGCCTAATATGAGGCGTTCAAATTTGCTAAGAAAGGGATTGTTTTTACATTCTTTTTAAAAGACAATAAAGTTGTTCACATAAAAATGTGGCAGGCAAAGTGGTAACTGGCTAACTGATGGTGTTTTTACAAGCTTATGTTTCCACTTCAAACATCCATTTGCAGCGCACAGCTCTTCAAAAGGTCTGGAACGAATGCATATACAGCTGGAGATCCTGATTTTTGACCGTGTGAATGCTTTCACACCAACCTTGAGGTAAGCATCCTGGCAAAGTCATCATGATGAATGCATCATAAAGTCATCTCATAACAGTTCCTGCCTTGGGAAAAAGAACACAAATGTACAGAGATTCTGTATATTTATACATCACTCCAGCTACCTCAGTGTATCTGTCCTCAGAGAGAGTATATTCACAGAGGAATCTTGTACAATCTCAACCATACACTCACTGATTATGTTCAGAATACAAACTTTGTGGGTCGCTGGCTCTTTTGACATTATAGCAAACCCAACCTTCCCTGCTGTATGGTCACAAGGTCATCTTAGACAAACTACGATACAGACCATATGGATTGTTAGCCATTTTTCAATCTTATATTAAGCCAACACTCTCTGTAGTATGTTCAGAAGGTCATTTAGGGTCTTCTGAACATACTATACAATACAGACCCCATGGACTGTTGGCCATCTTTTAACGTGCTACCTGAAACTGCAGCATATTCAGAAGTCTTGGCCACGCTACAGTCTGGACCCTGTAGACTTTTGTCAATCTTTTGACGTTGTTTCAAGCCAACACTATTTGCAGTATTTTTAGAAAGTAATATTGGACAATCAACCATGTGATAATTATGTTAATAAGACTCTATGGATTGTTTGCATTTTTGACACTGTACCAATTTATGACTATCTGTGGAATGTTTAGACTTTAATCTAAGGCAGTCCACAATTATGCATGTTATATAATATAGGTTGTTGGCCATTTTTTGACAGTGTGCCACCGCTGGCTCTTTGCTAGGATCTTTTGATATTGTACCAATTTAACTCTATCTGCAGTATGTTTAGAAGGTAATCTAGGGATAACTGACTATGTTTATCATATGGACTGTTGGCCATCTTTTGATAGACCACCCCAACAATGCAGCACTTTCAGAAGGGAGTCTTAGGCAATCTATGATATAGACCCTATAGACTCTTGGCAATCTATTGACACTGAACAATCTGCAGTATGCACTGAACTATGCACTGATTACATGAATAATACAGATTCAGTGGAGCGTTGGCCATCTTTTGACAATGTACCAATTCAACACCATCTGCGATATTTCTGGAAGGTAATCTAGGGCAGCCAACAATCATGGAGAATGTTCATACTATAGACTGTTGCCAATCTTTTGACACTGTATCACCCCTATCTGCAGTATGTTCAGAATGCAATCTTGGGCATTCTCCAAAAAAAAAAGAAAAGGAAAAGAAATAGGGTCATTTGATTGTTGGCCATCTTTTGACACTGTACCACCCAACAATATCTGCAGTATGTTCAGAACAAAATCTTGTTATAGACTGTTGACTGCTAGCTATCGTTTTTGCACTGTACCAATTCAACACCATCTGCAGTATGATTGGAAGGTAATCTAAGGCCATCTACAACTGGGCACTGACTATGTTCATCATGTGGACTGTTGGCCATCTTTTGATACACCACCCCAACATTACAGCATATTTAGACGGGAGTTTTGGGTGATCAACATTGAGGACCCTACAGACTGTTGGCTATTTTTTGAAGTGTTATTTTTAGAAGGTTTTCTTCAACCACGCACTGATTACATGAATGATACAGACCCAAATAGATTGTTGGCCATCTTCTGACACTGAAAAGAATAGACTCATTTGATTGATGGCCCTTATTTAACATTGTACCAACCCAACGCTTTCTAAATGTGCACTCGATCTCTGTTGCGTGGCGCTGCTTCAGTCCTCTTCTTGAGCACACCAACAAAAACCAAGCAGCCGTCCCTCCCAAGCTCTCACTTTGGCACACCGGTGGAGTCCGAGCACCCGAGCAGTCAGAGCGCGCTGGACGAGTACTTGGCCCTCGTGATGAGGTAGAGCGCGATGTCCTGGTGGCCGCCGAAGGCTGCGATGTGTAGCGCGCTCCAGCCGTCGCGGTTGGCCAGACGCACGTCGGCGCCGAACTTGACGAGCAGCTTGACGAGCTCGAGGTTGCCGTCGATGACGGACTGGTGAAGCGCCGTCTGGCCCTCGGGCCCGAACGAGTTCACGTTGAACTCGCAGCTGCTCATGCCCTGCAGCAGCGAGCGCAGGCCCTCCGTGTCGCCCTTGCGCAGCGCCTCCTGGAAGACCCTCTGGCCCGCGTCCGCTTGACTCATGCCTGCAGCGGGGTGGCTGGCCTTCAGCCTCCTCCTCCTCCTCCAGACCAACACCAGGACCACCAACACCGCCGGGTGCTCGGCTACAACGGAGGAGCGCGTTTCACTGAAGCCAAAAGACAGTAATCCACTTTGGAAGCGGTGGTCGGTAATAATATAGAGCCCCTTTTCTCTGGATGGGACGGTTTGAAGAAGCACTTCTTTAACTTCTTATTCAACGTGGGGCTCTCGTCTTCGCGTGCGTGCGCGTTCACGTGCTCTCCGGAACCTCCTTCCCGGGCTCGAGCTGTTCAGGTAAAAGATAACAGGAAGAGAGAGAGAGAGAGAGAGAGTTTAGAGGGATAAAACTGTGATTCCTGAACTCGTTGAGAGAGAGAGAGAGAGTGAGTGAGTGAGTATATGTGTTACCTTCGTGGTTCCCACGAGCTGCTGTTGACCACTAGGAGCTGCAGTGTATGTGTGTGTGAATGTGTGTGTGGTGGGAGCTGTGCTCCTCCTCTAGTTCACTCCGCTCCCCTCAGTAACAATAGTCAGGAATAAAGGGGGCGGGGCCTCCACAGACCACAGTGAACTAAAAGAGAGAAGTTTTTACAGAATAATCTGAAAATGTAAGAAGATGAATAGAGTGCAGATAAATGAACAAATAAAGGTGGAGTAAGATAATACACTCAGGGTGCAGCAAGGAGCGCCACAAGAGGCCCTTCTTCACTTGTCTTCTTGCCACTAAACTGTATAACTCATCTGCCCTGTGTAGGATGAATGAGGAGAGGAGTTGTTTTAGGACAGAGCAAACAACATTACTGATCACTTTAATGTATTTCCATCCATATACTTATTCACCTCGGTGCACAGTGCGTATTTCTTTATCTCAGTGCCACCGGCACCTGTTGTGCCACCCTCTCTATACTCAGCTCATTCACTGGTCATTTCAAAATGCCAATTGCCACTTCATTTCTTCATTGTGTATATCTGGACACATTCTGTATATGTTGGTATTAACACACTAAAGCTTACACGCTGCTCTTCTTATTGTTCTTATTGTGTAAATGGTAAAAACTGGTTTAAAACTGGGTCACTTTAAACAAACCACTCACATTTTACTTTAACTCTGTGTATTGTAGTCAGTAAGTGTCATTTTAACTGATGTGCCTGTGTATACTTCTGCAACAAAACTGTTTTCAAATCTAATCTAATCTAATCTAATCTAATCTAAACTAAAGGAAAAGTCCAAAACTTGATATGGCTTCCACATAATAGACAACTTTAGTCATTGCGATAGTAATAATAATAATAATAATAATAATAATAATCTTAAACTGTACAGTTTACTGATAGAATACAGTTTATTATTATTTCTCCTCTTGGACCAAAGGGGATAGTCTACTAAGCGCTCCTTGCAGCCTGAAATGGCCAAACATTGATGTTTTTTGGACATTAATCAAGTATTTTTTAAAACTAAGATTTGTGTGTTCCATTAAAAAAAAACAACTACAATTTACAGAATAACAGTAAAAATAACAAGAATTTACAGAATAATTTTAAAATGATAAATATCCACAGATTTGTTGCTATTGAACAAATAAAGCAAATTTTAAGTAATAATTTATATATATATAAGTGGCTTAGATAATAAATAGGTCTGTTTTTGCCATTTGGATATTTGGAATTTTTTACCATTAATCGTATTCACTCAACCAAGATCTGTTTTTGTGGTTTTGTTTTGTTTTTTTGGACAAAGAACTGGATTATTTTTTTTCTTTTTTTTGCAGGTTGCAGAGAGAGCACAGTGGACCACACCAGAAAATCTGATTCAACAGAGCAGTCATAAATATGAAATTATCCCAAGGCTACAGGTTTGTGTTTGTTTGTTTGTACGCATGCCATGGTAAGAACCGATCTTGGGTAAGAAAACGAGTAAGTATTCGTTAGTCCAAGCCTTCGGTTTTTTGTCGACTGTCACTAGTTTCTCAACACTAATTGGGCTATGTGGCAGAGCTATTGCAGAGGAGCGATTGCTTCATCTCTGTTTGAGATTTTGCAGGTTCCACGTTTCCCTACACACCCACTTCCCCTTTTATATTCATGGTTTCATCTATAGAGAAAAAAAGTAAGAACAAAATATGAGCTTCCCTTTTAAAGAGAACTTTCTGGCCTGTTTCAGGACACTGCACCCAGAACATTTGTTTATTAGCAAGTCCACTTGTTTCGTGTGTCGGTGGCAAATGAGAGAGCGACTTGCTGGCCATGTCTTTTGGCAACAGTAGGAGCTCTCATAAAGTGACACAGAATCCAGCGTCGCCATGGGAACTGGGCTGCTGCACGCTGGGTTTGTATCGGCCCGCGGATGCAATTTGGCACAATGACCAAGCTCAGAGTAGGCTAGTGGAAGACCTAAAGAGGCAACTGCTTCGTTAACAATATGGATGTATGTGCTGGTTGGACAACAATAAACATCAAGACTTGAGGGAGATGAGATAAGATGAAAATTTCACTAATTTGCATTTGCTTTTGCTCAGTTCTTCTCATTTTCTTTTCATGTTTTTTTTCTTGCTTTCCAAAGAAAATAGATATGATTCCAGTTTGAGTTATAGTCTGTTGCAAGGAGAGAAAGTGATATCTGATGGATTCTCACAAGATAATCTTGTGAAGGGAATTGTCCATCCTGCTCATTTTGTTCCAGAAATTCAATTGACTGTCACATGAAAATCAATCAGATCGTCTCAACCTTCAGTCTCCACTATCACTTTGAATCTTCAATTAGAACCTACTTTGAAATAAAACATCTTTAACAAAAAAAGTACTCTTCACTGGGAAAATAAAAACACCACTTTGAAACAGGTGTTGACAATTCAAACTTGACCAAACTTGTCCACGGATCCTGCGCCTTCTTTGAATTTATCGTGCTCTCTTCCCTCCTGTTTCAATAGGCTTCATTCAAATGCCTTAAAAAATCTCTGGCGGTGTGACAGGATCTCAGTGGTCGAGTTTCAGTGACGTTTCAATAGCGAGGGTGGGTCAGCCGGGATCCAATTTTAAACCACGTGCTCTAGGACCGTGGGAAAGAGTTGAGCCTTTCTTCCCAGCATAGGCGTATGCACAGTTCGAGAGAGAGAGAGAGAGGGAGAGAGAAAGAGAGAGAGAGTAGACTAGGTCCAAAACAGTTGCCTGTGGAAAGTTGGCATGTGGTAAAGGATACCAGAGACTGTGTGGAGGTTTGATAACCTCGACTTGGTTAACAGAAACGTAGACAGAAACAAAATCGGCAGCACTGAAAGGCCTATAATGGCTAATGACGTCAAATCTTCTGTGTAATGTCTTCAAAACAACATATTCAGTGTCATTTTAACACATCTGTATGCCTAATTTAGGACAGCTCATCTTCTGTTACTTTTAACCCAATTATTATTGGATTATTATCTTATTGTCTTATTCAGTCCAGACACTGCCCTCAGATTTTTAACCCTCTTTCACAGCAATATCCTGTTTTCATGCATTTAGCCTAAATGCACGACAATAAGCTCAAAAATTAGACAAACTCAAAAAATGTGCACAGTTACACAGTTTATGTGATTTCCTAACAGATTTCCACAAAATTAACGTCCTTAATTTACACCATTTCTGACAGTCTAGCTGCTATACGTACAAACTGAAAATATGTTGACATGTATTACAATTGCCTTTGATTTAAAAAGCATTTTAAGTTCATATATGCTAACTCTACTCTATTTGACTAAATGGAATGGAGTTCAAAGGAGAAATTAGCGTTGCCTTTGCAGAATACGAGGGGTATGTTAAAGGTGAAGGGTTTCGGCCCAGACTGCCTGACTGTGACCTATTGATTTTGCATGGGAACTGACCCCTGCTGCTCAAACCACCGCCCCCCCCATCCAAACTCAAATACCTCATGACTGGTCAAGCTTAACAGATAACAAGCATGAAGCAAGACTCAATTACCTGGGACAATGACTGGAGCTGACTGCTCGGAAAGTGTACTGATGTTATCGGCCCACGTCTATAAGAGTGGCTCTCGCTTTCTTCCTGCAAAAGAATTCGCCACAACAGGCCTGCTGCATTGGCCATGTCGGGACAAAACCTTGTACCTCCATTTTCCAGTTTTTGACATAATTTGAAAATGCCTGTTACCCTTTACATCATATGTAAATTTCATGCTGAATGGACCAAAAGAAATGGCCCAAAATGACGTGAAAAAAGTCAGATTCCATTGACTTACACTAAAAGCAAGGAAGGTTTTTTCCTTCTCCTATAAAGTTGCCGTTTTGTATATATACTACTACATACTTTGTGCAATAGTGCAATAGTATAGAGTCACCATACTATAGTGGCCATAATCACCTACAAGGCAGGTGGGACAATCATATTGGAGTCTGTAACACACGGGGGTCCATAGAATGGGGGGTTGTGGGAGGGTAAATGCCCTTAGCATCTGTATTGAACTCTTTATATTGCTACTTATGAAATTTTACACCCATGACTCTTTGGTACAGTAACTTAATAAAATGAAACAATTAGCCTACATCAACTATAAATCAACACCAGCTTGGTTGATTTATAGCAATGGTGAGTAAACAAGCAAATTACATTGTTGTTTTTGGTAATTAAAGAAAATTTGGTAACATTTTATTGAAGGGCAGCCTTTGTAAGACTACATGACACCTACATAAGCCTTTCATGACAACTGACATAAACCTATATAAACATTTACAAAGGCTTATTCCAAGAAGCATAAATTGTCATAAAGGCTGCTTTGTCAATTTTGATGTCATTTTATCTCATTAAGTGCCATGATAACTAATGATGAATAGTGCACTTCACTATTATCAAAATTGTTATAGCTTTATACATCATTTTTTAGATTAGATTTTTTTATGTTAACACACAATTAGGTGAAGAATGTTTTTTTCACCTGTAAAATTACCGTTTCTGAGACAGGGGGTTCTGTTACGACAGTGACGAATGGTGCCCGTACCATCTGATTCATCCATCCGGATATTGTTCACCGTGAAGGGAGATGTCAGGTGCTGTGAGAAGGGCAGATGTTTTTACATGCAGTGCAGATGGTTTTGGGGTGAAAGCATTTGGTAACGTATAGCGTACAGACGAGCAGTAATTCTGTGGGCTGTAGCGTCAGAGAGCAGGAATGTCCTGTTTGTCTTGGTGTGTGTTTGTTCACTGTACTGTGTGTTATGCTTACAAGGCTGGCATTTCTACTGCTGTGTGTGTGTGCATGTGTGTGTGAGAGAGTGCGTGTGAGTGTCAGAGAGAGAGAAAAGAGAGAGAGAATGTGTGTGTGTGCGTGTGTGTGTGTGTGTGTGTGTGCATGTGTGTGTGTGTGTGTATGAGAAAGAGAGGGAGTTAGAAAGAGAGAGAGGGAAAATGTGTGTGAGTGTGTGTGTTTGTGAGAGAGAGAGAGAGAGAGGGGGGGATGTGTGTGTGCAAGTGTGTGTGTGTG